GGCTTCTGGCTTCAGATCAGCACGGTGCCCCAGCTACAGCAGCCATTGTGGGGTGAACCAACGGCAAAGGAAGACCTTTCTCTCTGTCTCTCTCTCTCACTGTCCACTCTGCCTGTCAAAAAAAATTAAAAAAAAAAAGATTAAAAAAAAAGAACAACCATTCTCCCCATGATGCCCGCTTTTGGAAGACACCAGGTGGTTATCTTGTAGGCTCGCTGTGGTCCAGACCTGTGCCCTCCAGCTCTTTCCCGAGACTGTGGTTCAGTTTGGTGCTTTCCAGATCCCATGATCACCCATGTCCATTTGTCTGAACACATGGCCCACAGGTGGCTGCTGATGTCTCCTACTGGCTTCTGCACAAGCCAGACATCAAAGAGGTGCTCACCATGGAGCAGCGGTTCAATGCCCCGAGAATCCCAGCATCTTGTAGAGTGTCTGGCCCAGGAGCACCTCACATACACCAGTCACAATGAGGCCTTAGACAAACCCACAATGGCGAAGTATTAAAATGGAGGACTGGGCCAGCGCCGCGGCTCACTAGGCTAATCCTCCGCCTTGCGGTGCCGGCACACCGGGTTCTAGTCACGGTCGGGGCGCCGGATTCTGTCCCGGTTGCCCCTCTTCCAGGCCAGCTCTCTGCTGTGGCCAGGGAGTGCAGTGGGGGATGGCCCAAGTCCTTGGGCCCTGCACCCCATGGGAGACCAGGAGAAGTACCTGGCTCCTGCCATGGGATCAGCGCAGTGCGCCGGCCGCAGCGCGCCGGCCGCGGCGGCCATTGGAGGGTGAACTAACGGCAGAAGGAAAACCTTTCTCTCTGTCTCTCTCTCTGTCCACTCTACCTGTCAAAAAAAAAAAAAAATGGAGGACTGGAGCTGGTGCTGTGGCATAGTAGGCTAAGCCTCTGTCCATGGCACAGTATCCCATGTGGGCTGCGGTTCATTTCCCAACCACTCTTCTGATCCAGCTCTCTGCTTATGGGGTGGGAACACAGAAGATGGCCCAAGTGCTTGAGCCCCTGCACCCACGTGGGGACCCAGAAGAAGCTCCTGGCTACTGGCTTCGGATCGGCTCAGCTCCAGCTGTTGCCACCATTTAGGGAGTGAACCAGCAGATGGAAGGCCTCTCTGTCTCTCCCTCTCTATGTCTGCAACTCTGCCTCTCAAATAAATATTCTTTTAATGGGGGGCTGAATTTGTCAAGAATGTCAGTGTTATAAAGGACAAGGCCAGGGACACATCCCAGGTTCAAGGAGGCTGACAAACTGAGGATAATAGGCACAACCTGATGCTATGCAGTGACGGATGATATGAAAGACGACGCTGAGTCAGTTGACAAACAGGAAAGCACATGGGCCATTGGATCAGCCATGTGCAAGGGCCCCCTGCAGGGATGGGGCAGATGACACACGTGTGCACGTGTCTGTGTGCACATGATATGTCCACGTGTCTGTGCCTGAGCATACCTGATCACTGCCTGAAGCAGTAGCTGCACGCAGCCATGTTGCTGCAGGCTACACTGCTGCAGCGATGGTGCAGAGGATGCTCTGGTGTGTGCACACGTGTGTGTTCATGTGTCTGTATACATGTGTGGTGTGTGCATGTCTTGTGTGATGTGAGTACATGTGTCTGGTGTGGCCCATGTGTGCACATGTATTGCACACAGGTATGTGTGTACCCACGTCTGCACTTAGCACAAGCAGCAAAGCAGATGGGGAAGATGCTGTTGGTGAGTCTGTCTGAAGCATTATCGATTTTCTGTATCATGTTCTACTTTTTTTAATTTGAAAGGCAGTTTGAGAGAGGCAGAGAGAGACAAAGAGAGGTCTTCCATCTGCTGGTTCATTCCCCAAATGGCCACAACAGCCTGAGCTGTGCCAATCTGAAGCCAGGAGCCAGGAGCCTCTTCTGGGTCTCCCACGTGAGTGCAGGGACCCAAGGACCTGGGCCATCTTCTGCTTTCCCAGGCCGTAGCAGAATGCCGAATCAGAAGTGGAGCAGCCAGGACTCAAACAGGCGCCCGTATGGGATGCCAGCACTGCAGGCTTTACCCACTACGCCACAGCACCAGCCCCCATGTTCTACTTCTTTATCATGTTCTATTCATCTGTCTGAGGTTGAAATTATTTCCAGAGTTTTATTTACTAAAGATGCCTAGAAGAGAATCAACTAGTTGATTGGTGAAGTTGAAGCAAATTCCAATTCTGTGGCGAAATCCAGGCTGTCCTCAGAGGTTAGGACAGATGTGTATCAATATTGAGAAACGATTTTCGTTTTCACAATACATGATAGACATGGGAGAGAGGTCTCTGCCAACCGTAATGTGATAAAAGTGCATAGACTCACCTTGAATGAACCCAAATCTAAACCATTTCAAGGTTCAGTTATGAGCTTAATAAACCCATAAAACCACAGCTAAAACATTTGTTAGAGTGTATGATGCTGACCGGGCAGAGCCTGGTCAAAGAGTATCACCCCAGAAACCCCAAGAGCTGCTGATGCTCCCAAAAACAGATGGAAAAAATGAGGGGTCCCCTGTCCATATTCCTTTATTCGATCATGGCAAACAGCTTGAGGACATCCTTTTCTTGTGTCCGTAGTGAAAAATGTGGTTTGGATGAAGCTACTCACGATGTGCATTTGAGAACCACTGGCATTTCCATGGTGAGAGGTTTTCTGGTGCTGGGCACCAGGAGTTCCCTCATTCACCCATGAGCCCTGGCGAGCATCCACCACCTGTGGGCAGGGGCCACCAAGAAAGCACCACACACATCCCCTGTGGTTCACTGCCAGTCTGGGAGAGATTAGGTTGGTTTTTCCCTACAGTGGCTCAGAGTCTATTAGAAATAGCCCTGGAAATATGTATTCTTTAGAATACTATACCGCAGTAAGAAACAACGAAATCCAGTCATTTGCACCAAAATGGAGGAATCTGGAACACATCATGCTGAGTGAAGTAAGCCAGTCCCAAAGGGACAAATACCTGATGTTCTCCCTGATCGGTGACAACTGACTGAACACCAAAAAGGAAACCTCCTGAAGTGAAATGGACACTATGAGAAATGGTGTCTTGATCAGCATAGCCCTGACTGCTAATGGACAACTTAATACATTATCCCTCATAGTATTTTTTTTGTCTGTTCTACTTAATATGACTGGTTTAATTCTGTAATTATCACACAGTTATTCTTAAGTGTTGAAAATTAACTGAAATGTGATCCCTGTTAAACATAAGAGTGGGAATAAGAGAGGGAAGAGATGTATAATTTGGGGCATGCTCGGGCTGACTTGCCCCAATTGGTAGAGTTGGAAACATACCATGGGATTCCAATTCAATCCCATCAAGGTGGCATGTGCCAATGCCATCTCACTATTCCAAGTGATCAATTTCAGTTCACAATTGATCATAATGAAAGGGCTAAGAGTCAAAGGGAGCACATAAACAAGTCTAGTATCTGCTAACACTAACTGATAGAATAAATAAAGGGGAGAGTGATCCAACATGGGAAGTGAGATACTCAGCAGACTCATAGAATGGCGGATGTCCTAAATAGCACTCTGGCCTCAGAATCAGCCCTAAAGGCATTCGGATCTGGGTGAAGAGCCCATGAGAGTATTTCAGGCATGGAAAGCCAAGACACTCTGGCAAAAAGATCTCTGTGAGTGAGATCCCAGTGGAAAGAACAGGTCTTCAAAGAGGGAGGTGCCTTTCTCTGAAGGGAGGAGAGAACCTCCACTTTGACTGTGACCGTGTCTAAACAAGATAAGAGTCAGAGAACTCAGAGGGCTTCCATAGCCTTGGAAACTCATGACTGGAGCATAGGGAGATTACTGATGCCATAAACAGGAGTGTCAATTTGTAAAGTCAACAACAGGAGTCACTGTGCACTTACTCCTCATGTAGGATCTCTGTCCTTAATGTGCTGTACACTGAGGCTTAATGCTATAACGAGTACTCAAACAATATGTTTCACTTTGTGTTTCTATGGGGGTGTAAACGATTGAAATCTTTACTTAATGTACACTAAACTGATCTTCTGTAAAAAAAAAAAGAAATTATCAGTTCCCAACTTGACTCTCACTGGGATTAAACATGACAATAGGTATGATCTGATTTCATCAACATTTAAAAAAAATCATCTATTATTTTTCACTTCATGTATCTGTGTGCGCCCAACTGTTGAAATCCTTACTTAAGGTATACTAAGCGGGATCTTCTGTATATTAAGATAATCGAAAATGAATCTTGATGTGAATGGAAGGGGAGAGGGAGTGGGAAAGGGGAGGGTTGTGGGTGGGAGGGACGGTATGGGGGGGAAGCCATTGTAACCCATGAGTCGTACTTTGGAAATTTATATTCATTAAATAAAAGATAAAAAAAAAAAAAAAAGAAATAGCCCTGGAAGAAGTGAGAAGAGGCGAGGGGCCAGTAGGGTGGCAGTTTGGTGCCCAGGGTCTGTGGCCGCTGCTTCTTCCTTCTGGGCAGTGCGCAGTCCCGGTGTGGCAGGCAGCCATCCCCCTGTAGGGTGCCCAACCACTCTACCTGATGATGCCACACTCATCAGAGGCTTTGCCACTGAGATGATCTGAATTCAGCTGTTGGTTTAGAAACTTTTTTTTTTCAATCTGTATTTTAACCTTTTTTTGCTCTAGAGTCAGAAATACAAGGATGAGCTGTCTCAGCTCCATCACAGGGTCCTGCAGCTGGAAGAGGAGGCTTCTGCCCAGCAGACCCAACACGAGAAGAATTGCGCCACCATTCAGCTGTTAACGCAGAGGCTGGAGGAGGCAGGGCACCGCGAGGCGCAGCAGGTGGGGGGCCGGGGCAGCTCCTTCCAGGCTCCCGGGGCTGCTGGGCAGAGGGGAGCAGTGAGGGAGATGCAGATCGGGTCAAGGCCTGATGTCCCTGAGGGAGGCAGCCCCGGTTGTGTGGTGAGGGGCTGCGAAGCCGGCCTGGAGCGAATCCCCAGTGTCTAGAAGAGTAGCAGAACAGAGCTAACCTACCGGCAATAGCACAGCGAGCTGGTGCGACCTTCTCGGAGGGCTGCCACGTGTCTAGCAGGAAGCCCAAGGGTGTCCCTGGGCTCTGACTTCCTAATTCTGCTCTGGGGCTCTTATCCAAGGACACGGTGGAAAGACTTGGCTGGCAGAGTTCCACTGCTTTGTGACTTCACAATGGCCTAACAGAATTAGCTCGCTTCCTCCAGCAGTAGCAGGAGTCCGTAGATCTTGGCACAGCCCGCTAAGACCCATGTTTTCCAGTGATATTTGATGTTGTGGGAACACTCAGGCTACGGTCAGGAGCTGAGCACGGCTGTGGACGCCATCCGCCCGTGCCTTCTGATACCGTGACACTGACAGACATGGGAGTGCAGGAAATGGGTCACAAAGATAGCAGGTGTGGGTCTCCTGCTGTTAGGAGCCTGCAGGATTTAAGTTTCGTAATTTTTAAAAGCTTTTTCCATGATTATCTGAAGTTTCTACATCAAGCATATACCAGAAGGCTTCGGAATTTCTTGTACTACTGAAATTGACTTTTTTTTTTTTTTTTTTAAATGCAGGGCGAACAGCTCCGAACACTTGAGGGTGAACTTGAACGCATGACTCAGGAATGTCAGAGCCTGAGAGTGTCACAGTCAGAGCTGGCAGAGACCCTAGGAGAAAGTGAGCAACAGGTGGGTGTGCGTGGGCTGGAGGCGCCGGGTCCCATCTCAGCCTGGCAGGGACAGCAGCACTGGGCTGGCAGCATTGCCAGGCCTCGTCCAGCCCAGTGAGGTTCCTGAGCCCACCTGGTGTCACAGGGCTGGCTGGGTGCTCACCTGGCCCAGGTTGGTTTGATCTTTTGAGCAAGCCACATCAAGAGGTCGGGCAACCCTCGAGTGAAGGGGGTGTTAGCCATGCCTATGGGCGACCCCTCTACAGTAGAGAACGCCAGGGAATCACGGGGGTGGCATCTGAGGGAGGGGTGGTGCCAGAGGCAGTGGGCACCAGCGCCGTGGGGGTGGTGTAACGCCTGGTTTGGTCCACAGCTCCACGCCCCGCCCCGCCTTACACCCGCACACCCTCGGTGTCACCTGCTGGCTCTGCAGGTGCAGCGATGGGGAGGCCGAGCACCTCACAGTCTGGGACATCAGGCACGTGCAGAGCAAGCAGAGCAGGACCCTGGAGGGAAGTTGGTTCTTCCCAAGGAGCGGGGAGCTGAGGAAGGAGGAGGAGAGCAGATGGTGACCGTGGAAGGGCCCTGAGGGACCAGTGTGGACACAGGTGTGGGCCGGGGAAGCGTCCGCCCTGGTGTGAGCACTGGTGGGAGAGGCTGACAGCACAGCCTCCAGCACACTGAGACCTCACTGAGTCTGTGCCTGTGGCCCCAACATGGCTGCTGACCTGATAGTTGGACTTGCCCTGTGTGAGTCATTCCCAGATTTTCTGCAGCTGCAGAGGGCTCGGCCTGGGTGTGAGACCCCAGAGCCTTGGATGTGCTCTTGGGGGGGACCTGGGGGCTCCCTGCCTTCGCTGTGAGCAGGTGCTTTCCCAGAGGCACCACTGTGTGTTTGGGGTGCTCCTTCTTAAGTCTGAAAGGAGCTTGGAAAACAGCCTCCTCCTCATTTTGGGACTGACAGATACAGCTTCGCCCAGCTGAACACAGAGAAGGGGCGGTGCCGTCCCCCTTGTGTCTGCTGGCAACTTCCGGTCAAAAACTTGTTGCTTCTGTGGGTGGGTGTTTGGTGCAGTGGTTAACATGCAGCTTGGGGGACCAGCATTGTGGCATAGTAGGTAAAGCCACTGCCGGTGACACCAGCATCCCATCCCAGCTGCTCGACTTCCAATCCAGCTCCCTCCCAATGTGTCTGGGAAAGCAGCAGGGGATGGCCCAAGTGCTTGGGCCCCTGCACCCACATGGGAGACCGGGAAGAAGCTCCTGGCTTTTGGCTTTGGCCCAGCCCAGCCCTGTCATTGCAGCCATCTGGAAGATCTCTCTCTCTCAGTATCTGCCTTTCAAATAAGTAAATAAAATCCTAATAAAAAAAAAAAGTTTGGGACACTCATATCCCATATCGGAGTGCCTGGGTTCGAGTCCTGGCTCCATTCCTGATTCCTGCTTCCCACTAATGCACACCCTGGAAGGCAGCAGGTGGTGTCTCGATTACTTGGGTCCTTGGGTCCATTTGGAAGAGTGAATTCTGGGCTCCTAGCTTCTGCCTTGCCCAGCCCTGGCTGTTGTGAGTGTGAACCAGCAGGTGGAAGAGCTCTCTCATCTCTGTCTTTCAAATAAAATAAAAATAATTACATTTTATTTTTTATATGTTTATTCATTTATTTTTATTTTCTTGAAAGGCAGAAAAAGAGACAGATCTTCCATTTGCTGGTTCAGTCCCCAGATGCCTGCCATAACCAGGGCAGGTCCAAAGCCAGGAGCCCAGAACTCTGCCTGGGTCTTCCACGTGGGTAGCAGGGACCCAAGCAGCTGGGCCACCCTCCACTGCCTTGCCAAGCGTATTAGCAGGAAGCTGGACCAGAAGCAGAGTAGCTGAGGCTCAAATCGGCACTCCAGTAGAGAATGTGGATGTTCCAAGCGGCAGCTTAACCTGCTGCACCACCATGCCTGCCCCCAAAATAAATGAATTTTTAAAAATCATGCAAAAACACAGTGCCTCTCCCAGCACAGTACCTGTAGGAGCAGATAGGCTGCTGGTGCCTGGGGCTCGTGCGGCCCTGTGGCAGCACCTGCTCGGCCTGCAGAGGGTGGTGGGCGGGCAGTGGGACACACAGCAGGTGGACGGGTCAGACAGGTGCTCTGCTCTGAGAGGACCCCCAGGGGATCGGAGGACGGTACCGGAGGACAGGGTTAGGCGGCCGATCCTCAGTTAACCTGAACTGCACAGGTTGGGAGTCCAGTAGCAACCTGCAGCTTCTTGCTACGACCACAGGGGCTCTGACAGATGTTGGAGGACAGGCTGGGAGGGGAGCCGAGCCTCTCAGCTGGCCTTGTGGGCTGTAAGGGCTCCACGCCTGGGCCTCTGTGTGTCTGCGGGCGGCGCTGAGGCCACACACTGAAACTTGGTGGGAGGCGTTGGGTCCTCCATCCCCACCACGTGCCTGGCCCTGCCTGTGTGTGGTGTGGCAGAGAGCAGGCTCCAGGACCCTGATCCTTCCGACTCGGAAGAAAAGCCAGGAACTGGAGTTTGACGTGAATGCGCCATTTTCAAATGATGCATCTAATTTGAAATCTGGAGCTGAACAAAATTCCTCCACAGCCTGCAGGCTGCCTGTCAAGCACTGTGGTTTGTTGGGTGCACGTTAGAGATGGCGACGTAGACACAGCAGGCAGAGATTGTGCCCTCCTGGAGCCGACACCCAGTGGCCGTGAGCAGACAAAAGCAGAATAAAACATGAGTCGTGTACGAGGGACTTCAATAGCTCATGGAAAATGGGATTGAAAGCTAAGTTTCGGGGCCAGCGCTGTGGCACAGTGGATTAACACCCTGGCCTGAAGTGCCTGCATCCCATATGGGCACTGGTTCGAGACCCAGCTGTTCTACTTCCGATCCAGCTCTCTGCTATGGCCTGGGAAAGCAGTGGAAGATGACCCAAGTCCTTGGGCCCCTGCACTCATGTGGAGACCTGAAAGAAGCTCCTGGTTCCTGGCTTCGGATCAGCGCAGCTCCAGCCATTGCAGCCAATTGGGGAGTGAACCAGTGGATGGAAGACCCCTCTCTCTCTCTGCCTCTCCTCTCTCTGTGTAACTCTGACTTTCAAATAAATAAATAAATCTATTAAAAAAAAAGCTAAGTTTCTTTTGGTGCCAGATATTTTGAATTTGTGCATTTGAGGGGTCGTCAAAGTGTTCGTGGAAATTCATATTATGAAAAAACTGCAGGAATTTCTAAAATTTTTGCACCAAAATAAATGTAGACTTTGATTTCATTTTCCATGAATTTTTGAAGCACTGCATGTACTTGGCGTGTTTGTAGGTAGCAGGGAGCTCAGGAAGGGAAGATAGGGTAATGGCACAGGTGTGGGGGGGGGCTCAACTGTGTGCCAGGTGCCAAGCAGGCCTCGCAGGGGCAGCAGAGCACAGTGGCTCTAAGCACGGGCTGTAGCTCCTTGCTCTACCACCCATCAGCCAACTGACCAAGGGCAGTCAGTTAGCATCTCTCCCTGCCTCAGTTTCTCATATGCAAACTTCAAGCACCAGCAGGAGCCACTGGCTCGCAGGCATTGTGAGGTGGCCCCTGGGCACCCACCACAAGGGATTAATGTAAAAGGCCCAGGGAATAGCTCACACCTCTGTGCCACCATGTGGGCCACAGGAGCCACTGGGGACACACTTCACAGGCAGAGAGCAGGGGCCACCTTTGGGAGGAAGAACGTGGAGCAAGATTTGAAAGCAGGTAAAAGGTGAGATTTGGAATGCATGAGTTCTAAGAAGAATAACCTCACAGCATTATGCAAGAGTGTCACGGGAAACAGGATGGGGTCCTGTCCTGACACCTGTCCCACGTCAAGGCCTTGTGGTACCCAGGAACACGGCTAGGGAAACTGGCTTCCGAGTCGCTTGTGGCTTAAACCCTGGGGCCACATCCCTGTCCAGATTCTCCCGGCTTTGTGGCGTGGGACAGGCATTTTAACAGGTGAGCGTGTTCGCTGGCCACCCACCTTGAGATGATCCTTTTGCAGTGTGAGACACCTTCTGCAACCTTTTCTTGTGGCAGGAGGGACGTGAGAAACAGCTGGAAGCTGCAGCGGAGCGGGTGGGAGAGGTGGAGACGCGTCTGCGGAACGTGGAGCTGCTCCTGCAGGACAAAGTGCGGGAGCTGACACAGCAGGTGAGTGACAGCGCTGGCCCTAGCGCCCACGGCTCCTCCCCGACCCAGGTGAGTGAGCGCTGGCCTCAGCGCCCCCTGCTGCTGGGGGGTGGGCGGCACCACCTGACAGGCATTGGAGAGATGCCCGTGGCCCCGTTGTGGGAGCGCTGGCCATGGCCGCAGCAGAGGCTGGTGGATTCTGGAAGATTCTCGCGCTCCCTGGGAGAGGCCATACCTGAGAAGGCACAGGGGCCCTTGAGGAGAGGGCAGATGTCGCTCCCCGTCTTCATGGGGGAACGACACTAAACCCTGCCTAGGCTTCATATCCGAGTCACGGCACCATTATGTCGCTCCCCCTCTTCGTGGAGGAACGACACAGGACCCTGCGCTGTTCTTTCGTCTGCTCGGCCCTCCCCGGGTTCGCTGCTGGTTCTTCCCGGGTTGGCTACTATCCCTTCCACCTCCGTGGAAGGGCAGTTCCCCCTGGCCACATTCCCCACTTCCGCAGGGGAGTGGCGCACCGCCGGCCGGCTTTCTCGGGGGGCTGCACAGGTGTTCCCTCAGATGTTCCCCTTAGATGTTCCTGGTGCATGCCGTCTCTCTCCTCCTTTATAGTCCTCCTCCGCCAATCCTAACTCGGCTGCCCACACGCCGAGTACGCTGCTCTCCTCCAATCAGGAGTAGGTCCTACAGTTTATTGGTTGAACTGGAGGCAGCTGCATAGAAGCTGTTTTCTCCTCTCCCAGCGCCATATTG